CTTATCCTTCTTTTTCTTGTGGTTGGAATTGTGATGATCATACTTGGTATGCAAGTAGAACAAGATTAGATGGTAGGCTAACAAGATGATGTTGACTATTTTGTGTGACTTATCCGATAGAGTCATATATTTTTTTGGAGTGTGCGATTGTCTGTATAAGGAAGGTTTGATAGTTGTTTAGTGCTAATGTATAGGATGCGTATTGGATTTCATATGTTATGTATTACTATTCCATACATTTTCTTTATGCATATTTTCGTTTTTACTTAAAGTTGATTATATTTTAATAATAGTGTGATGACCTGTCAAGTCATTATATTGTAAAGGAAATATAATATTATATATATTTGATATTTTTATTAAAAAAGATATTTAAACACATTTTAAACCAAATGTTACATTAAAAAAGAATGTTAGGATTATTAGAAATGAGAAAAACAAGAAGTAAATTAAGATAGTAAATATAAAGATAAGGTTAATTTTTCATGTTTATGCAGTAGTGTGCTTTTATGGACAGATAAATGGTTTGAATTAACCAAATAAAATCATATGTTAGCATTTGTTTAAATATATTGATAGTAGTTTTACCATAAGTATCATTACATACATAAGGAAAGTTAGTAATGAGCTATTTAATAGTTTTTTCTCTCTTACTATTCTCTTTATTACCGGCATTGTAGTTCTTTGCGAATAGAAAAAAAAAATGTATTTCATGACAGACATTCAGATTGTATTTGGAAAGAAGAATTTTGAAATTTAGAATTTGACTTTTTAATTTTAATTTTTATCATTTATTGAATATTTTTTGTATAAATTAATTTAAGTTTTAAATTTTTATTTTGGATAAAATAATTTAATTTACATTATAGGAAAAATTGATTTTATATATATAAATTTTAAAATAAAAAACTATAAAAATAAACATTAATCAATTTTAAATATTTAATAATTAAAAGTTAATACTACAAAATAGTTATTTTATTTTTGAAAAATAAATAATCAATAATTAAAAAAAGTTTAAATATGATTTTAGTTGTAAATTCAACAAGTTTTGCTTTTAGTCTCTATAAAAAAATTTCTTTGTTTTAAATTTTCTAAAAATTTATAAATGTTATTTAGTCCCTATTATTATGTAATTATTTTTAACTATTTATTTACTTATTAAAAGACTAAGTAACCGCCTTAGATATTATTTATAATTGTTAGTGATAGCATGTTAATATATAAATGTAACACCTCTAAAATATTTTATTGATCGTTACAATAAATGTTATTTATCTATTTTAAAATCGTTGTTAGAGACTAAAAATAATAATTATAAATTTTAGAGGATGAAAATAAAAAATATATATTTTACAGCACAAAAATAAAAATTTACTTATTTTACAAGAAAAAAAAACATTTTACAAGCACTACTAAAAAAGTGTCATTTTCTTACAAATTTTCCTGCAAAAAAATATTCGCAGAAATTTTTTGCGAATTTTCTTACAAAAAAATATTCGCAGAATTTTTTTGCGAATTTTCCTGCAAAAAAATATTCGCAGAAATTTTTTGCGAATTTATTTGTGAAAAATAATTTACAGATATTTCTTACAAATTTTGCTACAATTTTAATAATCATAGAATTTTTTTTCATGATAAAAATTTGCAAAAAATATTGTAAGAATTTTATTTTGTTTCTTGTAGATTTTCTTGCAAAAATAAATTCGCAAGTAATGTTTACTAAATGGTAGAAAAAATTTGCAGGTAACTTTTCCTGCGGATTTTCCTGCAAATTTTAATCCGCAGGAAAAATAAAAAAAATATATTTAAATTTATAAGTTTAATATTTAAAAAAAAATTCAAGTCCCACATCGATTAAAAATAAAGTAATTAAAGAGTATATAAGTTGGGACAACACTTACCTAATAAGTTGATTTATATGGTTCAGTGTTAGACTTATAATCTACAATCTTAGAATTTAAAAGATTATGTATCACATGTTGGAGGCATGGAAACAAATGCTTCGGATGAATTCATTGTGAGCATTTGAAAGTTAAAAAATTATTGATAAAATTTATAGTAATTTCTTTAATTTTTTTTGTATAAAATATTCCTGCAAAATTTCTTGCGAAAAAATTCGCAGGAAACTTTCCTACGAAAAAATAAAAATTTACTTATTTTGCAAAAAAAAAACATTTTACAAAAAGATCATAAACAATGTTTACAAAATTTTGAAAATGAAAACAAAACAAAAAAATTATAGAAACCAAACTTAAAACTCTTTTATTTTTTTTAGATACTAAAAGTATATTTAAATTTTTTTTTTTATTATATTTTTATGTTAACATTAAAATAAAAGAGAGGACAATATGGAGAAAAGAGAGAAAAGAAAGAGGAGAAAAGACAACAAGAAATAACAAAAAAGAGATAAAGGAGAGAGAGGAGAAAAATGAGTTACACTCTTAAAATCTTTCATGCACACTATAACAAATTTTGTCTGTTTCCTCAAGAATGATTTTAATATGTATTTAATGAAATAATAAATAGTGAGTATATCATTAATTAGTGAAATAATAAATGATGTGTATTTCGAAATAATAAATATTTTGTATTTAATGAAAAACAATGGTTAATTCTATTTATTACTCCCTCCGTTTTTTTTTCATAGTCATTTTGTCAGAGTTTGTTATTTTTTTTTCATTGTCATATTACTAAAATCAATGAGTTATTAATTTTTTTCTTCCATTTTTACCCTTAATAATTAATACATGTTTCTTGAACAATGTGTGTATTTATTTTTGATGTCTACCTAATTTTTCTCTAACTACTCACATAAAGTTAATATACATTTATAAGAGCAATATGTTCTTAACAAAATATTATAAAAAACAAAAAAAGGGACAACTATTTAATGGAGTAGTTCAACAGTCTAAAACATGCAAAAAAAAATAGAGGGTAAAATAGGAAAGTAAGTAATAAATATTTTTGAAAACTAAAATATCAATGATTTCCTTAAGTCCCGTGCAAAACCTTAAACGACTATGAAAAAAAAACGGAGGGAGTACCATTTTCAGTTACTTTTATTATGAAAAAATCTTTTAATTAATTGGAGTATATCTCTATTAAATAATATATATATAGAATAAATTAAATTTTTAATCATCCTATAAAGTTTAATGTGTTATTTTGATCTTTAATTTTTAATTTCCTAATTTTAATTCTTTAAATTTATGAAATTTATTTTTGATTTTTCTTTACTAAATATTTACTTATTGATCATTAAAATTTTAATGTTTATCATAACATGACATTAAATAAATGGTACAATAAATAATATTTAATAATATTTAGTCTAAATTATATTTTTAGTTTTTATTTTTATTTTATTTTTATCATATTTATCACTTTTATGAGATAAAAAAAATTAAAAATTTAATCTAAATATTATTAAATATTAATTTTTATGTTATATAATAAATATTAGATTATAATCAACATTATAATTATAACGATCGACAAAGATACTAAAATTACAAATTTTATAGAATTTTTATTACTTTATTAGCATTGATGACGCGTGCGTGGATACAAGGATGACCCTAAACATGAATTGGTGGGTGATTGCTAGGAATAGAAATAGGTCATGTCTTAAATAGGAGTTTATGATTTGACCTTTTTAAAATCTAATGTGACCTAATTAATAAAAAGATCAAGTTTATATTTTTAAAAAAGTTTATTTATATAAAAATGTTAGATTTAGACTTATAGAAAAAACTATTAAGCTTAATAGGTCAACCTATTTATTTATATAATATAATAAAAAATTAATATATACTATTAAAATATAAACAAATAAATAAATTTTAAATAAAAATAAATTATCAATATTAAATTTTTTTTATATAATTATTATTTTTATTATAGATTTATAAGTTTGAATTGTTTCTTCAACAAAAAATGATTCAATTTTTCTCCTATATTTATTTTAAAATTTTAATTTTAAAAATATTGAGTAAACTATATTTTAAAATTGATTTGGTTGATTTTTAAAAATTAATTGGCTTATGGATCCTATTTCTTGTATCAAGTGTGTATCCTAGTTCTGTATTTTGTAAACAGGGTGGAGTAGCATAACACTATTCGTAACTTTTTCTATTTCTCAACACTTCTGTATTTGGGTTTGGCACCCCTAGTGCCTCCTTAATACAAATTTCTCTTAGCTGATCAAAAAAAAAAAAGTTTATTCACTTAATTAACATTAATAATTTAAATATTTAACAAGTCCTTTCAGACTTTAAAAGAGTCAGATCAGACTTATAAAAAAAGTCTATGATAAATGTTATTTAATAATTTTAATAGGACAAATTTAGGCTTTAATTTGGTAGAACAAACTCAGCGTATATATTTAAAGTATGGTCTAATCTGACCTATTTCTATTACTAGCGATTGCTCCAGGTCCCATTGTTGGAGAGACACCAAAATAAATGTTATTTAGTCTATATATTATAAAAATAATTTTTTTATGAATAAATTATATAAAAATGTATTAGAGAAAATAAATTAATTGTGAATAAGTAATAAAAAATGCAAGTGTAGATTAATCTTTAATTGTTAGCTTTTGGATATTGCATGAATCATGTTCATGGATCAAAAGAATCAATAATTATATTTCATACTAGTCAACAAAATTTTACCCATAATTTTAGAGAAAAAAAATCAATAATATTAAATATAAAGAATAAAATATGATATGTTATTAAAAAAAATTTCTCTTGATGTAATATTTCTAAGTGTTAATGTAAAATCATAAATAAGAATTATTTTTAAATTTTTCTTTTTTTTATTTCTAATTTTTCTGTAATTCTCTCTTTATTTTTTAAATTATGATCTATTTTATTCTTTTAAAATTTTAAAATCAATTTGTGAATCAACACCTGTTCAGCACACGTTTTTTTTTTTTTTTTGTGTTACCATAAAAAAAAAAACTCAAGTCCACCTATATATATTCTTTTATTTGGATCAACCAATGTACAACCATTTCAAGAGTTCAAGTTAAAAAAATCGTGTTGGAGCATATATCATCATGAAGCTACCAAACACTTTTTTACTTGTGTTGGTTTTGTTTGCTCTCTTGAGTCACACTTATGGTATATTATCAGAAATTTATTTTTTTAGAATTAATTGATGTTCTCTTTTTTGTCATCCATAAGAGTTTTGAATAGAGATATGCTTAGATAAATTTTCCATAAAAAAACTATATGAATTACTTTTGCAAACTGCATATTGCGAAGATAACGTTAGTTATATTTTGTTAACGTGTTTTAACAAAAATATAAGTGGGGTATTGTGATACATATGATGTGAGTAATGGTATTAATTTTTTGTTGTTTATAATGATAGGAAAAATCCAGTTTTGCCCTAAAGAGATGACTTTTGATGGGTCATGTCCACTTGGAACTTCAGGAACAAAGCTGTTTTTCTGAGTTTCTTGCAAGACTGGGAGCAAGTGCCATGCCAATGCATTGCAATTGTAAAGATCTTACTTCCCAACATCAACGCGCATGCACTTGTGACGTTGTTTGTGGCTCATGAATCATGATCACATCCACAATCTTAATGCATATCATGCCGGGAAAATAAAATGTGTAGATGATCTTATAGCCATCACACACACCCAATGTTTCAGTTATTTATAGTTCATGTTATTTTCAATTTAATTATATCTGTTTCGCTCTTGATTTTGTTTTTCTTCATTTTTTAACATTCATGTTTCGTTCCAATTGCTATGCCTTGTTTGGATATACGTTGGAGGGAGGCTTATCCTACGTTTATGCAACTAAATTAACTCTTTCGTTACTTTTTCCATTCAACTTAGCGGAGGAGAAGCATTGACATCAAAAGTTGTTAAAGGAATAATATATAGCAATACACAAAGAAAAGAAAAGAAATCAAATAATTTACTTTAATAAATATTATTATTTAATAATGTTATCAAAATAAAATAAAATAAAAACTTGATTCAATAACATTATTCAAATAAAATAAAAATGTTATTTAGTAAAATTATTCCAATTAATTTATTTAATAGTATTATTAAAATAAAATAAAATAAATAATTTAATTTAATAACATCATTAAAATAAAAAAAATAAGTAATTTTATTGTAATAAAGTTAGTTTATTCTCTTTGTTTTTAATAATGTTACTCATTAATCTAAATTTAAAAAATTAATTCAAATTAAATAGTATTTTTGACATTACTTTAATGGTAAGACGTCTAATTAAACTTATTGGTTAAGAAATATCAAATTATCAATAAGGTTTAAATCGTGTAATTTTAAAATTTAAAAAATAACATTTTATTTTAAAATAGAGAAACTAAATTATAAATTAACAAAATTAGAGAGATCACAACTTACAAGAACCATTTAGCTTTTTTCTTTTTTCTTTTTAAATTTTGGAAAGCTTATTTATATTTTTAAAAATTAAATTTTTGTATTTTAATTATTATGTAATTTGGAACTATGTATTAACTTAATCTCTAATAATCTAAATTTTTTAGGCTTAAATATATTTTTAGTCTCTATAACATTGATGATTTTGATTTTGATCCCTCTAATATTTTTTTTTTTGTTTTTCATCCTCCTAAAACTTATAAATATTTTTGTTAATTCTTATAAAATGATTAAATTTTGATTTTGATCTCTGTAAATTTTTTTTTTTAATTTTTATTATCCTTTTAAAATCTAAATCAATTACTTTTAGTTCCTAATGATCATTTTAAAATAGATATTAAGACTTATAAATTTTTTAAGAATATTAAATATCAATATAAAATCAATAATGTCGTAAATAACACTTAAGATTATTATTTAACTTTTTAATAAATAAAAAATAGTTAAAAAATAATCACATAAAAATAAGGGCTAAAAATAATAATTTTAATTTTACAAAAATAAAAAATAAAGAAAACTTTTTATAAAAAAGTATTAATTTTATAAAAAATAAAAATATATTTAAATCAATTTTTTATGAAAAAAAAACAAAAACTGAACTTGTACTAATATTTAGATATAATACATTGATGTTCCGGGTCTATGTATGGATTCTACCTTTTAGTGAATTGGATGATTTGGTATTCGATGGGATGCCCAACAAATAACAAGGAAGGTGCGAAGACATGTCAGTGATGTCACCACAATCGAAAAGCACAGAAAACATTTCATACGTTAATTAATAAAACAAGAAAAATGTGACACCCAGTCAGCAGTGGAGATCATGTTGGTGTTGCTATCTCTCACTTGTCTCCCACTCATCTCCACTAATGCCCTTCCTGTTTTCCCTTAGACTTCTTCTATCCACTTTCTTTCAACTTTATCATAATTTTAACAAACATTTCACAACACATCTTTTACAAATTATTATTTTACATTCCATCAACTCTGAAACAAGACTCCATATTTAAAAAGTGTTTGTAACTTTATTTTCTATTGTTTTTATGTTATTAGCAAGTAAAAAACGAACTAACTTCCGAGATGCCACGTCTTTTGTTTATTTATTTATTATTTTTTTGTATCATAGTCTAATGTGACAATTTTTTTTCCATGAGAACATATAGAAGGCGTGTAACTCATGTTGATGTATATTATTTCTTATTTTCATGTTGAAGTTGGGCCATAATGTTGCCCATGCCAACTACCCCTTTCTTCCCCCAACAATCAACATACCATATGATAAAATAGGTCGGCTATGCTAGCCGCTCATGTTTGTATTTTGTATCATATAAAGTTACTTTAAAATAAGACTATATTTAGCTTAACTAGCTTATTTTTTTATTTAAACCATTTTTAATTAAAAAGATAGATAAAATGAATAAATAAAAAAAGTTGATGGCTAAATGAAGGCGAGTTACAGAGATAAAAAGGGTGTAGATAAACTAACCGCAGATGGTCCATCACTTTTGAGCACGGTTAGAACATTAACATTTGAACATATATATAAAAAAAAAAAAATTGATTGATAATTATTATGTAATATCATTATAAGTTCAGCTGTTTAAAAATAGTCACTTTTAAAATTAATAATCAGCTGCCGCATACCAAGGTGGAAAAAGATAGGAGACAGGTGGCTTGTGTTAGTTGTATTAGGAGGAAAGAAAACGGTGTTATTGGATAACATGAAAAGGTTCAAAGAGCATCAATTTCTGGGGTTTAGGAACCTGTTTTTGTTTTTGTTTTTTTTGGCTTACAATTACATGAATTAACACTCACGACATTATATCAATTACCTTATAATTAGCTAACTAACTTTAGTGCTAGTATCGAGAAACTCATGTGATTTAACTCATTATCTGTCAAATTATAATACTTTAAGATTTTATTATTAATTATATATTATTTGAATAAATATTTGGGCTAGTTTTTATAATTGTATTTTATTGATATAAATAAGTGAGTTTTAATTATGATATATTTTTATTAATACATGTATATAATTATACGGTTTTATTAATTATTTTACTTTATTGTTTTGAAGAAAGGAAAAGAGAATTATTATTAAATATTTTAATCGATTAAGTTGAGGGAGGGATTAAGTTTTTAAAAGGAGTTCTGTCAGTTTTTTTTTCATGCTTCTTATTTTTATGCTTTAAGTTATGAAGAACTGAGGAGAGAACTATAGACTGTAAAAGATTATTCAAGAGATCTACTCCTTTTGTTGAGCATTCATCAAGGTAAAGAGATGTGAGTAATTTTGCTTGGACGTGAGATAATTATTAAGTAATAAGATTGATCTCCAATCCTTGTTTTGTCGTACGTTGTAAGAGAGAAAATCTCAATTTGTATATATTCTTTTTGTCTTTGAAATGACTCTTCAACTCTTTTATTGATGTTATTTGTATGTATGTATGTATGGTTAATTTTGTATATAAAATTGATTTGGTATGATTTAAGTTGCTTGTGGGTTCCTTTGAAAATCTTAAGGGAATGCAATTGAGTCATATTGTGTGACTAGTAAGGATGGCAACAGGACGAGTCGGGTACGAATTTCATGATACCCGTCCCCGTTCTCGCGAGTCAAACCCATCCCCGTCCCTGTCTCCGTACCCGTCGAGTGTATAATTTTCATCCTTATTCCCATATAGGTATATTTGCCTACAGGTACAGGTAAATTTGACATCTCTATGTATAAGTAGTGAGTAGTAGTAGTATGTAATTATGTGAGATTCACGCCTTTTTGATGGATAACATAATTCTTTGAAATGTTTTACCAATTGAAATGACAAATTGAAACTCTTGTGCATAAATGGTAAAATTCACATTTTTATAGGTTTTGGTTTCCTAATACGATTTTGAGCATCAGTTGCATCTCATCGGGTGCCATTGTGTCCATGAGTAGAGTTAGCTCTTTGTGCCACTCATGTTGGATGTGAGTTGATCCTTTTCGGGCATGGGAGCTCCCTATGGCTATTTTGCCAAGCATGAATTGAGTCACATTAGACATAGGTTGGTCACTGTCGAGTTGCCTGTTACCTTACTCCTTGTGGTAGCTTGTGATGAATGATGTGGTTGTTCCTTATACTCCTTGATGATCATGAATTGAATGTGGATTGTATTGTTGTGAATGATTGAATGATGCAAATGGTATCTAATTGGCAAATCGTTGTAATAATAAATTGTTTGAGTATGTACATTGAAAACATAATATAACATTGTCTTGTGTGACATGTATCATATGCACTCAAATTGACAAATCGACAAATTGATACATATATACATTATATATATATATATATATATATATATATATGTTGGGATTCAAACAAGTCCCACATTGATAAAATAATACAACAAATAACAACTTATATAATACAAACATACTTCAATGATTGAGAGGCCTTTTGGGTGATGACCAAAAGCAAAACCGTGAGGGCTAAGGCTCAAAGCGGACAATATCTCATCATTGTGGAGTATGTTTGTGTAATAACCTTATAAAAACAACCTCATAAAATATCCTCTCAGACAAATACCATAAAAATAACCCCAACAATATATTGTGATTGCCATCACATACATATAAATCATAGTCTATGTTCATTACATCTGATCATGTGTGAATGCATTGTTTATGGAGTGATTGAGACGAATGAAATATAGTGAATGATTTATTGATACCTTATTGTGAATATTTAATTGTATATGAATGCATTATAAGGATGTATCTATTATGTTATGTGTGTTTGACTATCCGACCTTGTTTCACGTCATGAGTTAGAGTGCAATATTTCTTACTCCCTTTTGTTTCTATGTTATCCTTTTGTATGTTGTTGCAGGTGAGGCTTATCCGGACATTGATGATGTCGGTAATGAGACTTAGTTCTTATTTTAGGAAGTGCTCTAATATGATATGTGATATCAACACATATATTATAATTGTTCCTTTTTATTGTTATTTATTTCTAGGACATGATGTTATACTACTGATAATGTTTTATATTTTGATGTCTTATTTCCATATTGATAAGAGGAGTTTTTATGTGATATTCTCTGTCAATCTTAATTTTACCCCGTTAACTGTTATGCATAAATCCAATTTTAAATTAAGAAGGCATTTATATTATGTATTGTTTCATGTGAAGTAGAAGATGTCACACAAACTCTCAAGATATTAATATTCATGTTTAATGAAGAAGAACAAATTGATAGAAATTTTTTTTTTTATAATTTGGCATTTATAATTAAATTTTGAACCAAATTAAATTCAACAACCGGACAAAAACATGCCATTGATTTAAAAATAACATTATCAGAACAAAACTCCTTAAATTTATAAGGTGTTGTAAAATTTTTCAAAATGAAAAAAAATAGAACATTTTATTTATTTATTTGATTGAAAGTAAAAAAAAAAACGTTAACATTACTTTTACTTATTTGATGTAATTAAAAATTGAAAAATATGTATATAAAAATTGTGAAAACATCAATGTTTCTTCATTTTATATCATTAAAAAGAATATTTTCGTAATCTTGATAAACAAGTTCTGAAAACCCACTTCTCTCTCTTTCTTTTCGTGATATCAGAGAAAGAATTATGATATGACGCCTCTCGTTATTTTTCTTTTCATGTCAATTCAAATGATTGAAAATTTTCTTTCGTGTGTGGTGGTGTTCTTTATTTATGCTTTCATTGATTCGTTCCGTCCAATTAATTGCTTGATGAGATTGTGCCTTAATTAGACTACTTCTCTCTTATATAGAATACTAGTCTCTTATATATGAAGCAAGTTTGACATAAATCATATATATGAAGCAAGTTTGTCAAATCAAATTACAAGAGAAAAAGGGTAGAAACTTGCGTTTTCTTTCATGCCATTTTCTTCGATTGGAGACTGATTTTAAAGGAAGGGTTTGCGTGATTAATTGTGTCATGAACTAGTTTAACTTCGAACTCAAAACCAATTTTTGTGATAAATATATACAACCACACCTCCATAATAAATTAGTTAAATCCAAATTAATAATAATATTTTTTTGCCCTCTCTTCTTTCTAAAGTATATTTAATGTTCCGGGTGAGGATTTAACAACTCCTGCAGTTTCCATGATCCAACAATATCCATAGCCTTGCTTCAAGAAAAGGGAATAGAAGAAAAGATTGATGCTATGCAAAAAAAAAAAACAAAAAAAATTTGAACACTATACCATATCCATTTCATTCTCTTCAATCAATTACATCATATCTCGCAGATTCAACAAGAGTTTAATGAGCTACAAAATTGTATTCATTTATATAACTAATGGATCAAAATTAAACCAGAAAAACAAGGAAAACACTGTGAAATAGTTGGTCTGAATAGCACTGAATTTAGTTCCATTAAACAATGTCTCATATTTAAGTTTTGTAAAAAAAAAAGTAATGAAGAAAGGAGACTCCACTATAGTTAAAAAGTTTGAAGAAGACGGTGTTTATGACTCAGACTCAGACTCTGATCCAGTGTGGGCTGTGGATGGAACTGGCTTGGCCAAAAAAGTGGGGTTGCTCTCACCAGCCATGATCACAACAATCTTTGGCTCTGAAACATTATTATTCACCATCTTGGGTGCTTTCTCTTCATCACTAGCTGAGTCGGAAGAATAGTATTTTCTACGATAAGAACAAGCTAGGATGAGCAATGCAACTGCAATCACTGCAAGAATGAAGGCTAAGCCACCAAAGAGGTAGGGAATTGGAGAACTCAAGTTTCTGAAATCATTTGCTCTTGGTCCACCCATGGTTGAGTTCATTTTTTCACTTCTATTTGGTTTTTTTGAAGATGGGTTTCAGTGTTTGTTATTGGGATGGGATGATATGGATGAGATAGAATTTAACCAATTTATAGTACAAAAGTACAAGTGATGGATCCTAAAATAAATCATGAAGTGGGAGGAGGTAATTACCTAAATGCCCATGTATTATTTGTGAATGATATATATATATTTTTTTTGAGGTTGTCTGAAGCTTCAAATCTCATTAATTGTCGATTATTTGTTGTGTTTGGAGCATCATTTCGTGGAACGTTTCTTATGCAAAGTTTCTAGGATTTGTAACTCCTGTATCTTGTCCAAAGGAGGGCCTCCGGAACCGGAAGGTTGTCTCAACAAGCTTTTGGTCAGTTTTGTGTCAATAGATGGTATGTCCATCTCTAAATACTTTTCTATCTAATCTGATACCAATTATGTTTTGTTTGAAAATTGGGAGAGAGAAAAAAAAAATAGAATTAAGAAAACAAATAAAATGAAAAACATATTTGTTTGGATTCGTGAAATTAAAAAGAAAACAATTGAAAGAATTCCTTTCCACTTGTTTAGATGAGTAGAAAATAAATAAATGAATTAGATTCTATTTGGATAAAAATAAGAAGTAATTTTTTTTAGAGATTCTTTATAAAAAAAATTGATATTTTGTTAATAATTAATCTTCTGTTAAATAACTTGATTATTTTATTAATGACTAGTCTTTACTTAAAGAACTTAATTATCTATGGTGAGATTTTTTTAAGTATAATTTCTTTTTCAGAATATTGAGACGTGATATTTTACTTAGAAAATCTGAAGATGGTTTTATTAAAATTAACGAAATGCTGGTTAATATTTACTTGCTTAATACCTAATGAAAAATTAGTTTAAAGAAAATGAGGAAACAGTTGGTGTAGCAGTGGCAACATCAACATGGATGATTCATGTTTTATGGAAGAAGCAACCAACACGAAAAGGAGGAAGAAGAAATTAGAAATTACTTCACCATTCGATTCTCTTTTAAGGCCCCACTAAACGTGTCCGTGCAATTTAAGGTACATACCATTTTCTTTCATTCTTAAGAAGCGTTTTTTTTTTCCTCTTTTAATGAGATGTATGCCTTTTGAATTTGTAATTTATACAATTTTTTTTAATGCATTCGATATAATAATCTTTTTTTAGTATTAATGGCCTTACTCAGTAGAAAGATGACAAAAAAAAAATCAATTTTTAAGGTTTAATATAACGAAAAATTTAGTTTTACGTGTATTTTGGGAAATATTTTTTTCCCTAGATTCAGCTGTTTTTGTTGGAACTAAAAATTGTTTGTAAAATAAGTTTATTGTTTAGAACAACAGCTAGAATTTGTTAACAGTTTTTTTTCTTCTTGAAAAGTAAGTTATTTTTATGAATATGAAAGTTTGAAACTTATAATTATTTTTCAAGCTTATCTACTTTGATTTATTACATAAAAACTGATTTTTTTATTTATTAAATTCAAATGAAATTAAGTATTTTTAAATTATTTTTCAACATATTTATTCAAACAAAAATTCATTTCAATTATAACAATAATCTATTATACACATAATTAATTATTAAAATAATCTAATTTTCACATCTTTCTCAAACACACCCTGAGTGGCATAGTTGTTTTTATAGAGAATGATTATTAATTAGAATCATTAATGTATTAAAATGTATTTATAAAAACAGCTTTATAAAATTGTTTAAAGAGAAAAGTAATATATTTTATTAATAAACGAAAATCAAGAATTCTAACATGATTAGTAGATAACTATAAAACATAATATATAAATTTATTTTTTTTTCTTTTTTTATCTTCTTAAAAGTGCTTATTTAAAGTATTTATGTCATTTTTAACATTTTTCCAAATCCTTACACAATTAAACAAGAGAAACAAATTTAACTAAAAATTTAACACAAGTGGTTAATATACTAAATTCAAAGTCAAATTATTGAGACAATGTTTGAATTCGATTTTGGACAAAATCAATTTTTAATTAAATTTTACTTATCTTTTATCAAAACATTGGTGCGAAATCAAAGAAAAATATATTTCTTCCCAATTATTTTTTCTCCTACCAAATAACCTAAAAAATCGTTTCACCATTTAACAAAACATTAAATTTACGAGAAAGTGCAATATTAAATTATTTCAGAAATAATTGTAAAAAAATTAAAAACAAGTTAATGCGGATATATGTTATGTACTGTTTAATTATTTTTGTTTTTCAAGTAACAAATTTACAGAATCAGCTACACTGTTCAAGAGGGAACATGAAGATCTTTAGCTAAAACGGCGGTGCATCTATTCATCCGAATAATGATTGAACACAACACACTAGTCCATCCTTTTAGATCAAAAACACCTTTTACACAATTCAATGTCAAGTGGAAACATGAACATCTTTATAGCTAAAACAATGGCAGCGCACCAATTTTATTTTTTTTCTTCATGAATATCTTCTAATTTATTAAGTAAGAGACTTATCTTTTCGGTATCGTCACCTGTTAGATTTTTACAAACAATGATTATAGATTATACACAACAATTGTCATAATGAATTTACAATACCTCATACTTAAAGAAAAAGATAAAAAGACCTTTTATATATAAATTATGTTATTCATATAATAATTTATACAATTTTTTTCTTTCGTGTATTTCTCTTTGACACATCATTTATTGTATCATTATTTTCTCTCTCTCTTAGTTAGAAACAATTAACATTTCTCTGTTCATATTCAGAGTCAAACATACTGTTTTAATCAGGAAAAAAAGTGGAACCTGATTTAATGCAAAATATGTCAGCAAGTTAGAACTTCAATTATTATGCCCTGGCATTACAAAACAATGGACAAACACATAATGGGCTTAGTGTGTTTTTTAATCGAGGCAGCTAGGTAACAACTTTAATTATGTGATAGATTGTGCTCTAACATGACAAAACTGTGGACTAACACATAATGGATTATGTAGATTTGGTGTTTTATTAATGGGGTTATGTGGAAAATAGAATGAAGATGGAGTTAATGATCACTCACAAGGTGGATTAAGGTGAGGAGAAAGCAAAAAATTTTGTGGGGTAAATTGGTTTAAAATAACTGAGTGGGAGTGGTTGATGGAGGGGTCCTTGTCCTTCAGACTTATGAACAGATCAGGTAAAGAAATTTGTTGGAGGACCACACAGCACTCACATATTCTATTATTCTAAGTCCACATAAAAATATTTAAATATATGTGACGATAGCGTGATGATAAGATGTATCAGTCCTTGTGTTAGAACCAAATAAAACCAATTGGAACAAGGGGGCAAAGAAATGGTGATTGGATTTTTGGTTTGAGAGTTAAAATTGGAATATGTTCTGTTCCTTTTGGAGTTACATGAGGCCACCATTTATTTTATGACCGTGACTTTAAGTGCTAACCAAAGACTACTCTTCTAGAAAAGTGGTTCTTATAAAAAATTTGGGATCAAATCAGAGAATTATTACTCATGATTGAGGTGTATCATATCTATTGATCTAGCTAAAGGACAAATATGTTGTGGTTAAAGTTGAGATTCACAAATAATGTGCCCATGGCAGACTCGGAATCCATTATGTAATTGTATAACATTTCAGGATTGGATCCTAAAGCATATTGAATTGTTGAAGCACTAATTTCCATGAATCTAAAACTTTGTAAAATAAAAATCCTATAGCTTAATGGAATGGTTTTTGGGTCCACATGAAACTTTTAGGGAAAG